ATGTTGTGAAATGCTTTTTGCGCGTCAACAAAGATAAATGCCATTTGTTTTTCATTATACGATTCGTAAAATTCTAGCGTATCTAATATAATCCTAATGAGCCGAGGTGGCGCAGCAATTAGAATGCAGTACTGCAGGCCACTTTAGCTGACTTTGTTCAGCAGGTCAGCGGTTCAAATCTCACCGGTTCAAGGTTGACTCAGCCTTCCATCCTTCCGGGGTAAAATGAGGACCCAGATTGTTGGGGGCAATGTAAATATATATATACATTGCTTACTGGTGTACACCGCTTAGAGAGTGCTTGCACTTAAATTTCTTGGAGATTTTTGTATATTTCAGATGGTAATCCATCAGGGCCGGGTGTTTTATTACTTTTCTGTTTTTTAATTGCTTCCATAATTTCCTGAAGTGTTATGTCCTTATTTAATATATTTTGGAATTCTTCCCAGGACTTCCGGCAGATCAGCATTCATAAGCTATTGTAACATTCTTCCTTCACTGATCTTTTCATCGTCTTTATAGAGGTTTTTAAAGAATTCATATGTCACATGCTTTTTTCTTCAGTCTGGTGTACCATCTCCCCCTCTTCATTGCACATTTTACTAATCCATCTTTTATCTTTTTTTTTTTTCAGTCTATAAGCCAACCATCTCCTGGGTTTGTTTGCCTGTTCCAAAAAATTTTGTCTGATACTTTTTATTTTTTGTGCCAATTTTTCTTTTTCTATGATATTCAAGTTATGTTTATTTAGATCTAGTTGTCGTTTTAGATCCCTACATTGTGGGTTTGTTTTTTTTTTGTTATTCTGTTTCCAGTTTTTTGTGTTCTTCCTCTAAACCTTTTTGGTACTACCTTTTCTTTTGATTTTCATTGGCCATGTATGTAATTGCAGTTCCTCTCAAGACTGCTTTAGCTGTATCCCATAGATTTTGGGTATTAGTCTCCTGTTTCTTATTTGTCTGGAAGAATATCCGCATTTGTTCTTTCATCTTATACTTGAATTCTTTCTGATTTAAAATTGCCTTTTTAAGGTCCACCTTCTTGTTGTTTTCTGTCCTTTCCATTTCACTATAATAGGATTGTGGTCTGCCCATGTATTGGTATCTATTGTTACATTATCTACATCTGAATTTAATTCTTTCATTGTCCAGACCATATCAATTCTAGACCAAGATTGGTGATGCCCTGAATAATATGTAAATTGTTTTACATCCCAATTTCTCTCCCTCCAACTATCCTGGATGTTAAGTTCCTCCGCCATTTAAAAAAAAGTACCAGGTAGTATTCTTTTAGTTCCTTTTCTTGCATTCTCACTTTTATAGTCTAATTCTCTATCTACACTTGCATTGAAGTCACCAATTAAACACATGTTCTCATTTTTGATATCACCGATGATCTTATCTAATTTCTTGTAAAATTGTCTTTGTCTCTCGTTGGGGGCATAAATTCCTACCAGGGTGACTTTTTTTTTATTCAGGGAAATTTCAATTATCAGTATTATACCTTCTTTGTCCTGATAAATTTGTTTTGCTGAGATTCTTTCTTTGACATATATCACTATTCCTCCTTTTTTCTGCTGTGAGATTGATACAAATTTAGTTCCTAACTTGGGGTAGTTTAATAGATCTTAGTGCTGTTTTTTTATATATGTTTCTTGTAAGATTATTATCTCTAAGTTTTTCTTACTAAGCTTGTTCAAAATTTTGTTTTTGTTAGCCGGGGAGTTTAAATCGTTTACATTTAGTGATAGTACTGTTAGTTCTTCCACATTACTGCCTATATTTTAAACTTGTCGGTCTCGTCAATCCATCTTCTTTAAATTCTTTATCTCTATTTTCATGTCATCATTGCCATAGTTCATTTTTTCTCTTCTCTTAATTTCCCGTTCTTTGCTTTGTGCTTCTCGTGCCTTTCTGCTGTGTCTCTCTGTAATATCTTCTTCTCTTAGTTCTCTTTCTTCTAATTCATCTTTGCCACCTAGATATTGCTGAAAAAACCCTTCTACTTTGTTTATCGTGTCCAGCCTGTATCTTTTTTCTTGCCAAGTCATCAGGATCCCTCCTGGCATCAGCCACCTAAAATTAATGTTTTGTATTATTATTTTCAATGTGATTTGTTGATAGGGCCTTCTAAGATCTCTTACCCTCCTGGGGACTTGTTTAAACACTGTTAGTTGTTTTCCTTTATATTCTATTGGGTTGTCTCTGGTTCTGTGCAGGATCTTGTCCTAACTGACTTCTTGGCGAATCTAATATGAACTTCCTTAGATAGGTTGTTTCTTCTTGCATAATTTGTGTGTATGCTATCTATTTCATCTATCTCATGTGCCATCTTTTCTTTCTCAATTCCTAAAACTCTCACTGACATGTCCATCATCATTTCTGGGAGCTCTTCCCCTTTCTCTTCTTTCATGAAAACCTAAGTAGTGGTCTGCTTTCTCTGTCTCTAGCAAAATAACAGAGTTTTTTTTCAATTTTTTGTTTGCTTGTTACTCTTTTTTCCTCCTTATTCGTTCTGTCTTCCATTTCTAATAGTTTCTATTCATTTTTCAGTATTTGTTCTTGGAAGCATTCGAATTTCCCATCCATTGCTCCAATCTTCTCTTTGGGTTCTTCGGTTTCGTTCCTTATTTTGCCTATTTCATTTTTCAAGTGTTTGTGGTTTCTCAACATAACCTCTTGCACAGATTGTAACATCAATTGTAGATCTTTGAGTGCGCCTGCTCTTTCGCTTGGCATCATCTCTTCTATCGATCTTTGTCCTACTGGGCTTAGTTCCACCAATGTTGCTTGATTTATCTGTTTTCTTCCAGTCCCAGCTCGTGTTAGGTTGGGGATGCTTGTCATCTTTCAGAGTGATGTCAACCAGCCCACCACTTATGTACAGTTTTTGTCTTTTCTTTCCACCACACCTGAAAGATTTGTTATTCTTCTGATATTATGATCACTGATACCTTATATCTTAAAAGTATTATGTTCTATTACTAACATAACATAAAGCCTCTAACACTGGCACTTTTAATATACAGTACTTAACAGTCTGATGTATTTATCAATTTCAAATGCTCATGTTCCACTGCAAGTCTAATTTATCTAAATAATAGTATATAATAATAATAATGTAACAGTTGGTTCGCCTAAGTATTATGACAAATGTTCAATTCATTAGCAATAAAGTCCAAATTTTACAATTAGTCTCTTGATAGTTATAGGTATTGAGGTGTTCAGCAAGGTAGATAAGTAAATGATTTTTCTCACCTTCTTTAAATTTTCAACTTTTTATTCCTAATAAGTCTTTTCCGGTGCAGTCATATAATAGGTTATATTCAATTAATTCTTATTTGCCTGAACCCTCAATTCAGCTACAGCTTACCCTTTTTATTTTTTAGAGTACTTTTAGAGCAATTTCTTTACTTTATTTCTATGCGTATTTTCCTTCTTAACTTGTAGGTGTCTCTCTTCCCTCATTTAATATTAATCAGTTTGTCCGATATGGTATAGGGTTTCCTGCCTGAGCATAGGGTTGGACTAGATAACCTCCAAGGTCCCTTCCAACTTTATTATTATTATTATTATTATTATTATTATTATTATTCCTCCATTTTTATTCAAAATGTCCACTTTCTCTGCTCAGTCAGTACTTTCGCTTTTCAGGTTTTTAACCTTCTTCTTACCTTTGCTGAAAGGCCCAGAAAGAAAAACCACCCTTATCCGTTAATCTTTTCTTCTTTGAGATTCTCCAGAATGGTTTTATGCACTGGATCACTTGCAAAGGCTCGCTGGGTACTCACACCACCAGGTTTGTTGTATCGTTTTCCCACTAAATTACAGATATTTTCATCCAGTTGACAGCTCTCACTCCTTAGCGGCTGCCATTCTGGGCCGTCTCCTTCTCCTGCTCAACTTCTCCAAAGCTTTCCTGCTTCTTATGGTTTGGACTGCCGTCCAGGACCACTCTTCTGGGTGCCTCCTTTTCCAATCTCCCTTTGAGTAATTGGGGGCTTTAGAAAGCCCACCGAGCGTGGGAAGCGGCGGTAGAATCGGCAAGCTTATTCGGAGTGCCGTCTAAACGCAGCCATTCCATCTGAAAGCTGGCTCTGCCTCCCTAAAATTATCTCATGAACATGTACTACTCTCAGAAACAAAATTGGCTCTGCTATCATCTTGTTGAAATATAGTTCAACAATGAATTTCTGTTATGGTATACAGAAAATCTGCTGAATTTTCCCTTAACAATCTTCCATAATGTTCACACTTGCAAGAATTATTTGGAATTCTTGTCTGTGTGATTTCAGATCTATGTACATATTACCTATTCTCCAATATATGTCTACTTAGCTCATGGATATTTCAGGGTTAAGAACCTGAGTATACTGTTTTCTCCTCTCTGTCTGTCTGTCTGTCTGTCTGTCTGTCTGTCTGTCTGTCTCTCTCTCTCTCTCTCTCTCTCTCTCTCTCTCTCTCTTTCACCCTCATGCTCCTGTTCTCATCCTCCTCCTCTTCCTCCCGTAAATCTTCCTAGCAAAGAATGCTTGAATCTCTAAAATCTGACTAAAGGAAATTTGTCAGGTCCTAGCCTCTCAAAAGCTAAGTATGAAGAGGAAAAATGGAGGATAAGACAATATATGGTATCTAGGGTTGACCAATTTGAACAGTAAATAGAAATCAAATTCAAAATAGTCTGTTTTAATTTTGCTCTTATTGATTGATGCTATTTCCTATATTTCCTTAAAATAAGATCAAATTAATAATAGAATAGACCTATACATTTCCACGCAATATAGATTATCAATTTTCTCAATATACTGTACTTATTTGAGCATTATTACAGGAATGGGAAAAATGAGTGAATTAAATTTGAATATGCTGGTCTCCTCTCTATTCTTATCCTTCCAATTCCCTCTCTCATTTTCTTTGAAGTAGCTCCATCCATTTCTTCAAGGCATTTCTTTTAACAATTCGGCTGGGGAGAGAGTGTTCCTGAATGAGAAAGGGGAAGCAATGGGTGGATTTGAAATCATCAACCTGATCACTTTCCCTAACAGATCTTTTCAGAAAGTTAGAGTTGGAGACTTGGATCCCAGTGCTCCAAAAGGGAAAGAATTATTCATTGATGAAGAGATGATTGTCTGGCACCCAGCTTTTAACCAGGTATATTTACATTAAATAGACTGTATTGTGATCCATTATGATAACCATGAAGATGTCCTTGTCTGTAAAGGGATAATGAACATAGTCTCTTTCTAAATATAAGGGTTTTTTTTTTTTTTAAAAAAAAGAAAAATAAGAGATGTATTCATTGCAAATGCTGACTGTGTTCAAGCATTTAGCAAATTGATAAAATGACAGGACACTCTAAAAGCCAGGTTTTCATATTTGAGTTGCATTTCCATTCGAAATCACCGGAGTCACCTTGTTTCCATAAGATTGTCATCACACAAAAGCATTTACTCACCCTGCCCTTCTGCAAGCAGATCTTATTACCCATCCTTGTAATTTCAACATCTTTATAAAAAAAACCCATTTGATAAAATTGACTAGAAATTTGAAAAGTCAATTTGAGGGGCTTCCACAAAGAAGAGGGGAGGTCATCAATCTATTTTCCAAAGCACCAGAAGGAAAGCCAAGAAACTATAGGTGGAAACTAATCAAGAACAGAAGCAACTTAGAACTAAGAAAAAATTCCCTAACATTGAGAACAATTAAGCAAAGCAAAAGCTTGCCTACAGAAGTGATCAGTGCTTCATTACTGGAGGTTTAAAGAAGAGACTGGGCTGTCACTTGTCTGGAATGGTATAGGGCAGGGGTGTCAAACTCACAACGTCATGTGATGTATCACAATATATCATGACTATATTTCCATTGCCAGCAATGGGGTGGGTGCGGTTTCGGCATGAAGCATCTGGCCTGTGGGCTGACAGATTGGCACCCTTGGTATGGGGTCTCCTGCCATGTCCATTCAAACTCTTGTTATTCTGTTATTCTGCTTCCTGACATAAAGAAGCAAAATTAGAATTAGAAACTGTTTTAAAAATCTCCCCTTAGAAAACCTTTTAATGTTTATGACCAGGTTCTTCCAATTTCTCTGTGTAATGATCCTTGTTCCCCTGGATACTGGAAGAAAGGGGTTGAAGAAAAAGAATTCTGTTGCTACGACTGTGTTCCATGTCCAGAAGGGAAGATTTCAAATCAAAATGGTAGGTTAGAGGTTCCATCAAGTTTTCATCAGATAGATTTAAGCAAAATGTAATAAACTACTTTAGAATGAATATAATTAGTAACTTTAAGGGTGAATGTTCATTTCTGTACTGTTAAAGTTTGCCGCTAAGATTCTGGCAGGTAGCATTCCCTAACACAAGCCCCCAATATGGATCCATTGAGTCACAGATCTTCTATAATCATATCATCTATTATCTATTTATTTGTTTTTCATATTTTCAACTTCATTTACCTTTGGTGGAGTTTTTTTTCCCCATAAGAGTGTTCACTCATTAAACAAATACATGACATTTTTTTAAAAAAAGAAAATTGTTTTCTGGTCTCCCCTATATGATGTCATCTTCATAACTTGTGACCTTAATCATTGTAAGTCAACCTTATTATTATCTGACTAATAAATATTTAAATGGGAGATCACCAGCTAATTAGAATTTGTAGATTAGCTCGGGACTTAAAGAAAAAGTACTGGAACTAGCAAAGTTTGTTCTTACCAGAAACCCGCACATGAAATCTGCTTTGAGTCTACAGACATTCAATAAATTCAATAACTTCTTTATCATTTTTCTTTTTTGGCCCCTATGAAAGTAAGATTTAAGGACCCCTAATCTCTACTTTTCAAAGACAACCTTTAGTTCTGGCCCTTCTTTTTCATATGTAAGAGAAAGCAAAAAGGTTTCAGCAAACAAAGAAAGATTGGGCCAATGAATTAGGTATATTAACCTCAAAAGGACATAGGGTGGGTGTTTGTAGAACCAGTGTTTTCCAAATAGATCATAAAAGAACAATAAAGGGCAGGATAGACAGAGGGATCATGGATTTCATTATCTTGAAAGTAAAAGTAGATCATTCTTTTTGCTTGTTGGACCAAACTCTTTTTTTATTTTTTTAAATTCAAAGATAAATCTTTCCTTAGCTTATACACATTTAAACTGAATCAAATTGAAATTTAACTGATTATACTGATTTGCACTCAGAGTCAGTATTTCTGCTTCCCTTCTATTCATCATCAGAGTTTTGGGAGAAAAATGGAAAAAGTCCAAATGGACTATATTGATTTCAGAGAATCAATATGTGCTTTCCATTGTTCTTTTTGCATGCAAATCCTAAAAGACACAATAGAGAAAAAAACTGCAATTTCATAGAAAAATGATCCTATTAGTAACCATATTTAGCTGGCATCCATCAGATGAATATTTTCAAAAAATTGGAATGGGTAGCGGACAAATTCCTTGACTTTTCTTCCAGATATGGATGACTGTTTTGTATGTTCAGAAGATCATTATCCAAATAAAGAAAAGAACAGATGTATCCTAAAAATGATGGTCTTTCTAACTTTTGAAGAAATCTTAGGAAATTGTTTAGCCTTGACTGCTGTTTGTTGTTTCTTCTTGACATCTTGGGTACTTGGAACATTTATTAAGCACCGGGATACTCCCATTGTCAAAGCCAACAACCGGTCCCTCACCTACACCCTCCTTATCTCTCTTCAGCTCTGTTTTCTCTCCTCTTTGTTCTTCCTCAGCCAACCTAGCAAGGTGACCTGCCTTCTCCGACAACCAACTTTTGGCATCACCTTCTCAATAGCCATTTCTAGTGTTCTGGTCAAAACTATCACTGTAGTTGTTGCTTTCATGGCCTCTAAGCCAGGATCTCAAATGAGGAAATGGGTGGGGAAAAGATTAGCTTTTTGCACTGTCCTTTCCTGTTCTCTTTTCCAAGTGTGTATTTGTATTCTGTGGTTGTCAACATCTCCACCATTCTCTGAGTTGGACATGCATTCAGAGCTCCAAGAAATGATTTTACAGTGCAATGAGGGGTCAGCTTTCTTTTTCTACTGTGTCTTGGGCTACATGGGTGTCTTGGCCATCGCCAGCTTTGTTGTGGCCTTTCTTGCCCGTAAATTACCTGACAGCTTTAACGAAGCCAAGTTCATCACCTTTAGCATGTTGGCCTTTTGTAGTGTATGGGTTTCTTTCTTTCCAGCCTATCTGAGCACAAAAGGTAAAGCCATGGTAGCTGTGGAGGTCTTCTCCATCTTGTCCTCCAGCGCTGCATTACTTGGATGCATATTTTTACCAAAATGCTACATCATTGTTTTTAGGCCTGAGTTAAACCAGAGAGAGCAACTTATAAAGAGGACTTAGTACATCATGTGAGTTTTCTCACTATGCAAATTGCTGATAATCAAGAGACTGTTTGCTATCTCCTGTATACATAAGTTTTAATTTCTGTGAAAGGACAATTTATGGAGGATTATTATCGTTATTAAGTCTGTTTGCCCATTCCAAAAGGAATGCTCATACTGTTGCATTTACACTCACTGTCCAAAGAAGTAAATAAATACATCACCTTTACAGGACAAACCAATCTGCCTGAAATAATGGGTTCTTAAATCAATTTTGGACCATATCAAAAATATAGATTCAGAGAGACCTGGACTCCGACTGGGCAGTGCCAGCCGAGTTGCCGGGGGCTGGTCTTAGTCATATTATCTGGAGCGAGTTTGAGCCTGTGACCCCTGATGAAGTGGACAAGGCTGTGAGGGCAATGAATGCCGCCACCTGTTTATTGGACCTGTGCCCCTCCTGGCTGGTTTCTGCCAGTAGGGAGGTGACACGAGACTGGCTCCAGGCGATAATCAACACCTCCTTGATGGAGGGGTCTTTCCCGCAACCTTTAAAGGAAGCGGTGGTGAGGCCCCTCCTCAAGAAGCCTTCCCTGGACCCAGCTGTTTTGAAGAACTTTCGTCCTGTCTCCAACCTCCCCTTTGTGGGGAAGGTTGTAGAGAAGGTGGTGGCGTCCCAACTCTTGTGATCCTTGGATGAAACTAATTATCTGGACCCTTTTCAATGTGGTTTCAGGCCCGGCTACAGCACTGAGACTGTTTTGGTCGCACTGACCGATGACCTCTGGCGAGCCCGGGATAGGGGTCATTCCTCTATCTTGATGTTTCTTGACCTCTCAGCGTCTTTTGATACCATCGACCATGGTATCCTTCTGCGTCGTCTCGGAGAGGTGGGGGTGGGCGGCACCGTATTTCGGGTGGTTCTCCTCCTACCTCTCTGACAGGTCACAGTCAGTGTTGGTGGGCGGACAGAGAACGACCCCTAGGCGCCTCAATCATGGGGTGCCTCAGGGCTCGGTCCTGTCCCCCCTCCTTTTTAACATCTACATGAAACCGCTGGGTGAGATCATTCGGCGACACGGGGTGAGGTATCATCAGTATGCGGATGATACCCAATTGTATATCTCCACCCCGTATCCTTTCAGTGAAGCAGTCGACGTGATGTGCCGGTGCTTGGAAAATGTGAGGGTCTGGATGGGGGTGAACAGGTTTAGACTCAACCCTGACAAGACCGAGTGGCTCTGGGTCTTGCCTCCCAAAGGTCAACTGGATGGTCCATCATTAGTCCTGGGGGGGGTAAATTTACCTCCCTCAGTGCAGGCACGCAACTTGGGTGTCCTCCTGGACTCACAGCTAAATTTGGAACAACATCTATCGGCTGTGGCCAGGGGAACCTTTGCCCAGGTTCGCCTGGTGCACCAGTTGCGGCCTTATCTGGACCGGGAGGCTTTACTCACGGTCACTCATGCCCTTGTCACCTCAAGACTGGAATACTGTAACGCGCTCTACATGGGGCTACCCTTGAAGAGTGTTTGAGGCTGCAGTTGGTTCAGAATGCAGCCGTGAGAGCGATTGTGGGCGCGCCAAGGTATGCCCACGTGTCACCTATCCTCCGCGAGCTGCACTGGCTTCCTGTGGGTCTCCGGATGCAATTCAAGGTGTTGGTTATCACCTTTAAAGCCCTTCATGGCATAGGGCCAGGTTACTTACAGGACCGCATATTGCCGCACAATTCCCAGAGACCAGTGAGGTCCCACAGATTGGGCCTCCTTCAGGTCCCGTCGGCCAGACAATGTCAGCTGGCGGGCCCTCAGGGAAGGGCCTTTTCTGTGGTGGCTCCGACCTGGTGGAATCAACTTCCCCCCGAGGTTCGAACTACTCCCACCCTGCCGGCCTTTAAGAAAGCCACTAAAACTCTTCTGTTCCGGCAGGCCTGGGGCTGATGTCCCCGGGGGGGGGCGGGATATGATCGGACATGCTGTATGAATGTATTTATTTTATTGTTTTATTGTCATATTATTGTTTTAATTTTGTACGCCGCCCTGAGTCCCTTGGGATTGGGCGGCATATAAATTTTAGAAATAAAATAAATAAATAAATAAATAAATATTTGAAATTAGAAGGCAAGTCTTTCCAAACAATTATTTATTAAAAATATTTCTTATTAAATATTTACACATATACTAAATGATAGTAATTCCCTTATGTGTTACTTCTCCATTCATCTTTAAAATACAATAATTATGTAACTTAATATTTGATAACCAAAGCCACCAGAACTAAAGCCAAAACATAAATGGAGATTTACTATCTCCAGGGATAATACAAGAATGCTATGCCTGCAGATGAACAATCGGCAATTTGACATAGCCATTTATTTCTGTAGAAGTCATTAAGCATAGGGAATGATAGCAATTACATTGAATTATACTCAATGTATTGCGTGTCAACTCATAGAAATAAACTCAGATTAAAACTTTATTATAATCATTGTTCAGAAACATCAATTAAATACATTTATAGGAAGAAGCAAACTTCCCCAATCTGGTACCCAATACAAACGTACATTTTTTGTTGGAAGGGTGAATAAATGACTTTGCAGATCACAAACCCACAAAACATATTAAAATAATAAGCAAAAATACACTATAATAGTTAGAAAATAACTGTTTGTGCAATCTGGTTGATAGCTTTCTTTCTGTTTGGCCCACATAGTTCTTTCTGGCTCATAGTGCAGCAACTGTGAAAATAGGTCAAACAGGAAGAAAGCTATCAACCAGACTGCATGAACACTTCCTGGCCATCAAAAGCCATGACCCACTTTTCCTCATGTCCATCCACAAAGACTCAGAAGGACACAAATTTAATCTAACTGGGACCACAGTTGTAATTCATGTGAAATCAAGGAGAGCTTGGTGTCATCTGAAAATTTGATGATTTCCCCATCTATCCCCTCGTCCAAATCGTTGATGAAGATGTTGAAGAGCACAGGGCCCAGAATAGAACAACTTAGACTTCAGTAAGGCATTTGATAAAGTAGACCACAACCTACTACTTGGTAAAATTTTAAAAAAATGTGGGTTAAACAGCATTATCACCAGATGGATTCGTTGCTGGCGGTCCAACTGTACTCAGCATGTGGTCTTCAGTGGAACTGCATCTACACGGAGGGAAGTGTGTAGTGGGGTACCCAAGGGTCTGTTCTGGGCCCAGTGCTCTTCAACAGCTTCAATGATTTGGATGAGGGGATAGATGGGGAACACATCAAATTTGCAGATGATACAAAGCTGGCAGGAATAGCCAATACTCCAGAAGATCGGCTTAAGATACAGAAGAATCTTTTTTTTTAATAAAAAGTTTTATTGGTTTTTTCCATTTCTTTTTCCAAAAGCTTAGGACACAAGCTTTTGGAAAAGCTTAGGACACAAGCTTTTGGTCAGGATGTCAAATCGTTCAAAGACAAAATCATATAAGTATAGCTCAAATTAATTATCAAAAATTTCCTCTCTGTTTCCTAAATATAATATTGCTTATTAAAATTAACACAATTTTAGGTGAAGTTCAATCAAACAAAAATCATCAATCACATGCGATTATAATAACCTATATCCTTTTTTAAGCTTTACTAATTTCAGTTATCATACTCCAATTACATTTTAATAAATATATAGTTGGGATTTCAGGTCTCCTTAATAATAGATCATTCTTTGAAAATTTTTCCCCTATCACAAATATCTCTTCCTCTCTCTCTATTACAACATAATTATCATATTTAAAATAATAGTATAAGTCCAACATATACAATTCTATTTTTAAGAATATATTCTATCATTTCATCAATCTACATCTATAAAAAAACTTTTTAGCCCTTAATAAAGTTTACATCTTCGAACAGTTATCAACTATAATATCAAGAAATTCCCATCCTTCATTTGTAATTAAATCAGACAAATTCTCTCTCTATTACAACATAGTTATCATATTTAAAATTATAATGTAAATTCAAAAAATACATTTCTATTTTTAAAACTATATTCTATCATTTCATCAATCTACATCTATAAAGTTTTTTACACCCTGAAAAGGTTTACTCCCTCAAATAATTATCAACTATAATAACAATAAATTCACATCCTTCATTCATTATTAAATCAGACAAAATCTCTAAAGCCTTTTTAACCCATCAAGTAACATTTTATGTCACATTTAAACCTGACTCTGGCTTTTTTTCTATGCCAAGTTAATTCCCATGTTAAAGCTTTTCGGTTATCGAACTTCAAAATTTGAGTTCAAAAATTTGTAACCGATTCAAACTGCACAAAATTTCTTTCCCTTTCTGCCAATATCATCTGAGTATTATATTGACTTTTACTCGATGTTATGGTTATAAGTAAATTATCCTCTTTATTGTAATTTCCAGAGGAGAGTGTCTGAATATCAATCTTTGTTATTTTTGGTAGTTGAACTGAGTCAATTACAGTTACTTCTTGGTCATCAAAGTTATCCATTAATTGTAGGTAATGTTGTGTACAATAAATTGGCTCAGTGGGATCCACCTTTTCTCCCAATGTAGATTTACAATTGGATTGTAAGCATAGTATCTCTGTCTTTTTGAGTTATATGTCTTGAACTATAGAGGCCTGTTCAGAATTACTCTGTTCTTCTTCTATTGTTCCTTGTTCCATAACTTGATTCATTATTGGAGGATCAATGTGAAGTTCCAAGGTAGCATCATTAGATTTTCTCCAAGGTTTCCAATAAGTTTTAAAGTCTTCTGTAAGTTCTAATATTTTTTCCAGTATTAAATCATAGTCAAGATGCGGATTACTTTCATCCATTTTGGTGGTAGATTAGCCTTTTTGTTTATCAGAGACTGTATTTGAAAAAGATCCACAAATGTCCACCTCCAAAGGTCTAGTAGCCAACTTCACCATCCAGCTGTCAAGTTGTCTTTCTTGTTTATTATCATATGAAAATCCAATCCCTCTTCATATAACAGGGAGAAGTACAGTTACAATTTTGTTTTTCACCACTAAATGTCCTACGTGGGTTATAAAGTCTTTTTTCTAAATTAACAAAATTAAAAAAATTTCTCTCTCTTCTTTTTTTTTAAAGTTAACAAGAGAGGTATCTCCAGCATTGTCAAATTAAAAAAACAAAAACAAAGTAACAATGTCCCTTTTTCTTCTTTCTCCCTGAAATCCCCCCAACAGAAGTCCAATATTAGAAAAAAACAACCACAAAAATTATTAGTCTTTTTCTTTTTAGCTCTTCTTTCTGATAGGCAACCGCCGCTTTCTTAATAAAAGGAAATAGTCAAGTTACAGGAAAAGTCAGGATAGTGAGAGAAGGAAAGGTCTCACCCGGATTCTCCATGGTGGTTCTTCATGCTTAGTTGTTCTTTTGACTTGCGGTTGGTGAGGCTAGGTGATCGGCCATTTTACTGGCCAATCTTCTCCATCGGCCCTCGGAGTTTAGCTCAGATAGCTGGAGGAGCCGCCGCTCCTTTCTAACTGAGCAGAGCCTCCTCAACATTAGTTGTGCCCACCAGGGCAACTATCAACCCGTATAAGGGTCTACCGGCGGAGAGAAGCTAGCCCACGAGGAGACAATCAAGATCCAGTGAAGTGTTAATACTACTTTCCAATGCCTTGGTAAGGCCACACTTGGAGTATTTCATCCAATTTTGGTCACCATGATGTAAAAAAGATGTTGAGATTCTAGAAAGAGTACAGAGAAGAGCAACAAAGATGAATAGGTGACTGGAGGTTAAAATATATAAGGAACGGTTGCTGGAATTGGGTATGTCTAGTTTAATGAAGAGAAGGATGAGAGGTGAAATGATAGCAGCATTCCAATATCTCAGGGGTTGCTACAAAGAAGAGGGAGTCAAGCTATTCTCCAAAGCATCCCAAAGAAAGATGTTAATCAGATATACAAAGGACAATTGCCAGGTTGCCAATATTCCAAAGATAATTATGACACTTATGAATTACTGAAATCACTCTATTATTTTAGCAAGTGAAAATATCAAACGTTCTGTGCAGAAGGGAATAGGAATTGAGAAACAATTCATATAAATATTACTAGAGCCACGTGGAGGTAGCAAAGGGTAATGATGACTTTATGAGATTCATTTCCACAAGTTATTTCCTTCCTGTATTATCTGCCAGAACTTATCTTTGAACGATAGACCCAGACATCCAAACCAATAGAATAAAGATGTTATTCCTTCTGATTTTCTTGGTGCACAAAGTAGTTACTCTGAGGTGCCCTTCAAGTGAAGCTTTCCCTGTTCCACATGAGTGGTTCCAGACTGGGGATCTCGTCATTGGTGGGATGGTGTCTCACATTTTTTACAACTTTTATGAAATTGAATTTAAGGACCATCCTTCTCTGAAACTTTATGGCTTACCACTGTAAGGATTTTTTTTGCATACATTTTCTATACTTAGCCATATTGCCTTTAATTGTTTATATGACTAAAAATAGTTTGAGCATAAATCTCAATTTTGCATGTCATCAAAGCCTGTTTTGTCTTTTGAACGTATCTGGTTGTTGGAGAAGAAATCATTTTCTTTTCATTAAGTTGAGTTCTTTCTCATAAAATATATGATTCTTCTTTTTCCATTCATAAAAAATATGTTCTTCAAAAGAAGCCTTCTTTTAAGTCAGGTTATTTATTACTCTGCATTTACCTCTGTACAAAACTTAACACACAAGAAATCAATGATATTTGCTTGTTCTGTTTGTATTGTATTTTGTGCTACATTAATAGAATGTATCTTGAAAAGGCAACTAATTTTTGTCATAATACCTATTAGTTGCAAATCATGGAAATATATGGAATATTCTGTAGAAATTATTCCAATATTTTAGTATTTCATAATTCTCATTTTCCTACTTCCATCAGAGACAGAAATGTTGATTATTTATTTAGATATGATGCCAAATTATAAGAGCTTTAAAATTACTTCTTCAATGGGGATGTTTAACCTTTTGGCAGCGTAGTCACCAAATTCTACCAGCACGTCCTTGCCTTGGCCTTTGCTGTGAAGGACATCAATGAAGACTTCCAGATCTTACCTAATGTCACTCTTGGGTTCCACATCTATGACAGTTACTACAACCCAAGGATGACTTATCGCACCACTCTTGACCTGCTTTTTAAATCTCAGGAATTTCTCCCTAACTACAAATGTGATAGTCAGAAGAATCTCATGGCCGTCATTGGAGCACTTGTGTCTGATACCTCTTCCTATATGGCAGAAACAATAAAAGTTTTCAAGATTCCACAGGTACTTTGGGTAAGAGAGTAAGAGAGAAAATTACCTTCTTTTGTAATATTAGAATTCATTTTTGGAATTCATTCAGTTTCCTTCATTGCCATGAATAATGAGTCTCCCTTTTTTCTATGTAGTTGACCTATGGCTCCTTTGCCCAAGAAGAGGTCCAGGATACTAAGGTATCTTCACTTTACTGCATGGTCCCCAAAGAGGAACATCAATACAGTGGTGTTATACAGCTTCTGCTCCATTTTGGATGGAGGTGGATTGGAGTCTTTACCTTTGATAAAAATAAGGGAGAAATTTTCTTGCAGAAACTGCATCCGTTGCTTTCTCGAAATGGGATCTGCTTGTCGTTCACACAAAGAGTTCAACAACGAGCCCAGTTAGAAGAAATTTCAGAATTTCTTGATGTAGTTTCAACTATTTATAATCAACTGATAGATCAGAAAGCCAATGTTCTTCTTGTCTATGGTGAATCATTCACAATTCTGTGGCTCAGATGTGTTGTGTTTCTATATGATTATGAAAATAAAAAAAGTGCATCATTTAGAAAGGTTTGGGTCCTGATGTATCCAATTGATTTCATACTGACAGGATTTCAAAAGCCTTGGGATATCCAGTTGTTCCATGGGTCTCTTTCCTTTACAGTGCATTCAAGAGAAGTTCAAGGCTTCAAAGAATTTATTCAAGTCATCAAACCTTCAACCCACAAAGATGGATTTCTTCAAGAAGTTTGGGAGCAATTGTTCGACTGTTCACTTTCAAATGAAGAATTACCCTCAGTATCCAATGAGACTTGCAGTGGAGAAGAGAATTTGGAGACTCTGCCTGCTCCTCTGTTTGAGTTGCAGATGACTGCCCAAAGCTACAGTATCTACAATGCTGTTTATGCAGTGGCACATTCATTGCACGAGGCAGTGAGATCAAACTCCCAAAATAGAAGAATTAAAAACTTTGAATTTTCAAATCTGCGACCTTGGCAGGTAACGTCTCCTTGCCATACCTATCTTTTGTTTCAATGAATAGTTCTTCTTCTCCATACTCTAATATGGATTTTCCTCCACAGATCAATGTAGTTATTGATGTAACAGTTGATCATAGGTTATAGAACAAAGGAGGATTTAAAAAAACATGTATTTGCAAATTTACATCTATTCAATAGGACTTTTGTGTTATTTTTGATTCCATAAATAACCATTTTATTTCTATCTAGATTTGTCCTGTCTTATAGATTTATTCATCCTGGTTCTAAAAAGAATTAAGTGACAATGCATCTGAAGGTTGCAGGCTGTTCTAAAATGTAAACATTTCACTTCACTAGACTTTTGTAATTTAGTAAAGACTTGGTTGTTAGACAGGAGAATTAGTTTTATGATAGTCGTTCTTTGCTGATATAGCCAAATTATTTTTATGAAGATATGTTGATTTTGAGACTTATGGTAAACCACCAAGAGAGTTGCATGGTTTGGTGTTTTAAAGTTTGTGTCTTCATTAATTAGTAAACTAAATATGCTCTGCATATTTCAGTTATTGATTTTCTTCTTCTTGGAATAAAAAGTAAGAAAAACAAAAACAAACAAACAAAAAAAACCCAAATGCACAGGTAATATACCCTATATGCTGGCGTACAAGGCGACTTCCGCAAGCGCTAAAATCGGCACCAAAAGCAGGGGTCATCTTATATGCCGAGTCGTCTTATACGCTGGAAATCCTGGTAGTTTCCGGCGTATAAGACAACGTTCTAGGAATGCAGCTCGGCGACAAAATGGGGGTCGTCTTATACGCTGGGTCGCCTTGCACGCCAGCATATATGGTATATGTGCTACCTCGCAAAGTAGTAGTAACTGTGAGAGGGATCTTGGAGTGCTAGTGGACAATCACATAACTATGAGTAACCAGGATGCTGCAGCCAAAAAGACCAACACAGTGCTAAGTTTCATTAACAGAGGGATAGAATCAAGATCACATGATCTTGATTTACAATGCCTTGGTAAGGCCACACTTGGAATACTGCGTCCAGGTTTGGTCACCACAATGCAAAAAAAGATGTTGATACTCTAGAAAGAGTACAGAGAAGAGCAACAAAGAGGATTAGGGGACTGGAGGCTAAAACATATAAGGAACTGTTGCAGGAATTGGGTATGTCCAGTTTAATGAAGAGAAGGACTAGGGATGACATGATAGCACTGTTCCAATATCTCAGGTATTGCACAAAGAAGAGGGAGTCAAGCTATTCTCCAAAGCACCTGAAGGCAGGACAAGAAGCAATGGATGGACACTAATCAAAGAGAGAAGAAACCTAGAACTAAGGAGACATTTCCTAACAGTTAGAACAATTAATCAACGGAACAAGATAGATAACTTTTATTGTCATTTTTTTTTAACTGGGGGCACAACGGCACACATCAAAAAATGAAATTTAGTTGTCCGCTCTCAAAGTGAAACACATACATGACACAGACCTAAACATACTATATACAACATATGTATAGACCCACACCCCTACATACACATAACAAATAAATATTAAATACTTTCTAACCTGAATATATAATGGAAAGAGAAATCTTGAGAGTTGCCTCCAGAAGTTGCAAATGTTCCAACATTGGAATTTTTAAGAAGAGAATGGACAACCATTTGTCTGAAATGGTATAGTGTTTCCTGCTTGAGCAGTGGGGTTGGACTAGAATCACTAGATGACCTCTAAGCTCCCTTCCTATTCTATTCTATTCTATTCTATTCTATTCTATTCTATTCTATTCTATTCTATTCTATTCATTTTAAGATGGAAAATTTCTTTGGTATCCCAGAAATTAGGAATAAAAGAAAGGCAATCCTTTTCATGCTTTTATCCCTACTACATTTTTTTTTCTTTTTGAGCCCTCTTTCTTATCATCCTTTCCTCATTTCTTCAAGGCATTTCTTTCAACAACTCAGTTGAAGAAACAGCTTTATTTAAGGGTAAAAGAGAAAAGACAGGTGGCCTTGACCTCAAACCTTGATCACTTTTCCAAATGGATCTTATCAGAGAGTTAAAGTTGGAAAATTACACTCTAGCATTCCAAAAGGAAAAGAACTGACCACTGAGGAGAACACAGTCCTTTGGCACCCTGGTTTTAATGGAGTATGAAGTCATCCAGTTGTACAAAGGATCAAATTTCCCCTCTCAAATTACCTCATGAACAAGTACTAGTCTCAGAAACAAAATTTGCTCTGCTATTATCTTGTTGAAGTTCAATAATGAATTTCTGTTAGAATCTGCGGAATTTTCCCTTAAAAATCTTCCATAATGTTCATGTTTATGCTTGCAAGTATTATTTGGAATTCTTTTCTGCGTGATTTCAGATCTATGTACATATAATCTATTCTCCAATATATGTCTACTTAGCTCATAAATATTTCAGGGTTGAGAACCTGAACGTACTGTTTTCTCCTCTCTGTGTGTCTTTGTCTCTGTCTCTGTCTGTCTCTCTATCTCTCTGTCTCTCTCTATCTCTCTGTCTGTCTCTCTCTCTCTCTCCTTCTCATGCTCCTGTTGTTCTCCTCCTCCTCCCTTAAATCTACCTAGTAAAGAATGCTTGAATCTCTAAAGTCTGACTAAAGGAAATTTGTCACATCCTAGGCTCTCAAAAGCTAACTATGAAGAGCTAAAATGGAGGATAAGATATATAGTGTCTAGGGTTAACTAACTTGAACAGTAAATAGAAATCATATTCAAAATATTCTGTTTTCATTTTGCTCTTATTAATTGATGCTATTTCTATATTTCCTTAAAATAAGATCAAATTAATAATAGAATAGTCAAGGCCCTGGTCTTCCAAGTTGCAATGTATGGATGTGAAAGTTGAACCATAAGAAAGGCTGAGCGACAAAGAATTGAGGCCTTTGGACAGAAAAGGCATTCAAACCAGTCAGTCTTAGAAGAGATCAACCCTGACTGCTCTCTAGTTGAAACTCAAATACTTTGGCCACCTAATGAGAAGGAAGGACTCACTGGAGAAGGGCCTAATACTGGGAAAGATTGAGGGCAATAGAAGAAGGGGATGACAGAAAATGAGATGGCTGGATGGAGTCACTTAAGCAGTAGGTGTGAACTTAAATGGACTCCAGAAGATGGTAGAGGACAGGAAGACCTGGAGGAACATTGTCCATGGGGTTGCGATGGGTCGGACCTGACTTTGCAATTAACAACAACAACAGCAACAACAACAACAACAACATACATTTCCATGCAATACAGATTATCAATTTTCTCAATATACTTATTTGAGCATTATTACAGGAATGGGAAAAATGAGTGAATTAAATTTGAATATGCTGGTCTCCTCTCTATTGTTATCCTTCCAATTCCCTCTCTCATTTTCTTTGAAGTAGCTCCATCCATTTCTTCAAGGCATTTCTTTTAACAATTCGGCTGGGGAGAGAGTGTTCCTGAATGAGAAAGGGGAAGCAACGGGTGGATTTGACATCATCAACCTGATCACATTCCCTAACACATCTTTTCAGAAAGTTAGAGTTGGAGACTTGGATCCCAGTGCTCCAAAAGGAAAAGAATTATTCATTGATAAAGATATGATTATCTGGCACCCAGCTTTTAACCAGGTATATATACATTTAATGGAGTGTATTGTGATCCATTATGATAACCATGAAGATGACTTTGTATGTAAAGGCATATTGAACATAGTCTCTTTCTAAATATAATGGTTTTTTTTTTTTGAAAAAAAATAAGAGATGTATTCAGTGCAAATGCTGACTGTGTTCAAGCTTTTAGCAAATTAATAATATGACATGACACTCTAAAACCCAGGTTTTCATATTTGAAATGATGTATCATGACTTTTTTTCCATTGCCAGCAATGGGGTGGGCGCGGTTTCGGTATGATGCATCTGGCCTGCGGGCCGACAGTTTGGCACCCTTGGTATGGGGTCTCCTGCTTACGCAAGGGGTTGTGCTAGAAGACCTCCAAGGTCCCTTCAAACTCTTGTTATTCTGTTTCCTGACATAAAGAAGCAAAATTAGAATTAGAAACTGTTTTAAAAATCTCCCCTTAGAAAACCTTTTATGTTTATGACCAGGTACTTCCAATTTCTCTGTGTAACGATCCTTGTTCCCCTGGATACTGGAAGAAAGGGGTTGAAGAAAAAGAATTCTGTTGCTACGACTGTGTTCCATGTCCAGAAGGGAAGATTTCAAATCAAAATGGTAGGTTAGAGGTTCCATCAAGTTTTCATTAGATTGGTTTAAACAAAATGTAATAAACTACTTTAGAATGAATATAATTAGTAACTTTAAAGGTGAATGTTCATTTCTGTACTGTTAAAGTTTGCTCCTAGGTTTCTGGCAGTTAGCATTCCCTAATACAAGCCCCCAATATGGATCCATTGAGTCTCAGATCTTCTATCATCATATCATCTATTATTTATTTATTTATTTATTCACTCTCCCCTATATGTTGTCATCTTCATAACTTGTGATCTTAATCATTGTAAGACTACCTTATTATTATCTGACTAATGAATACTTAAATGGGAGATCACCAGCTAATTAGAATTTGTAGATTAGCTTCGGACTTAAAGAAAAAGTGTACTGGAACTAGCAAAGTTTGCTCTTACCAGAAACCTGCACATGAAATCTGCTTTGAGTCTACAGACATTGAATTAATTCAGTAACTTCTTTATCATTTTTCTTTTTTGGCCCCTATGAAAATAAGATTTAAGGACCCCTAATCTCTACTTTTCAAAGACAACCTTTAATTCTGGCCCTTCTTTTCCACATGTAAGAGAAAGCAAAAAGGTTTCAGCAAACAAAGAAAGATTTGTCAATGAATTAGGTATATTAACCTCAAAAGGACATAGGGTGGGTGTTTGTAGAACCATGTTTTCCACATAGATCATAAAAGAACACTAAAGGGCAGGATAGAGCATAGGGATCATGGATTTCATTATCTTGAAAATAAAAGCAGATCATTCTTTTTGCTTGTTGGACCAAACTCTTTTTTTATTATTTTTATTTTTTTAAATACAAAGATTAATCTTTCCTTAGCTTATTCACATTTTAACTGAATCAAATTGTAATTTCACGGATTATATTGATTTACTTCCCTTATATTCATCATCAGAATTTTGGGGAAAAAAATGGAAAAAGTCCAGATGGACTATATTGATTTCAGAGAATCAATATGTGCTTTCCATTGTTCTTTTTGCATGGAAATCCTAAAAGATACAATAGAGAAAAAAACTGCAATTTCATAGAAAAATGATCCTACTAGTAACCATATAGTAACCATGGCATCCATCAGATGTATATTTTCAAAAATTTGGAATGGGTAAATAACAAATTCCTTGACTTTTCTTCCAGATATGGATGACTGTTTTGAATGTTCAGAAGATCATTATCCAAATAAAGAAAAGAAAGGATGTATCCTAAAAATGATGGTCTTTCTAACTTTTGAAGAAATCTTAGGAAATTGTTTAGCCTTGACTGCTGTTTGCTGTTTCTTCTTGACATCTTGGGTACTTGGAATATTTATTAAGCACCGGGATACTCCCATTGTCAAAGCCAACAACCGGTCCCTCACCTACACCCTCCTTATCTCTCTTCAGCTCTGTTTTCTCTCCTCTTTGTTCTTCCTCAGCCAACCTAGCAAGGTGACATGCCTTCTCCAACAACCAACCTTTGGCATCACCTTCTCTGTAGCCATTTCTAGTGTTCTGGCCAAAACCATCACTGTAGTTGTTGCTTTCATGGCCTCTAAACCAGGATCTCAGATGAGGAAATGGGTGGGGAAAAGATTGCCTTTTTGTACTGTCCTTTCCTGTTCTCTCTTCCAAGTGTATATTTGTATTATGTGGTTGTCAACATATCCACCATTCTCTGAGTTGGACATGCATTCAGAGCTCCAACAAATGATTTTACAGTGCAATGAGGGGTCAGCTTTCTTTTTCTACTGTATCTTGGGCTACATGGGTGTCTTGGCCATCGCCAGCTTTGTTGTGGCTTTTCTTGCCCGTAAATTACCTAACAGTTTTAACGAAGCCAAGTTCATCACCTTTAGCATGTTGGCCTTTTGTAGTGTATGGGTTTCTTTCTTTCCAGCCTATCTGAGCACAAAAGGCAAGGCCATGGTAGCAGTGGAGGTCTTCTCCATCTTGTCCTCCAGCGCTGCATTATTGGGATGCATATTTTTGCCAAAATGCTACATCATTGTTTTTAGGCCTGAGTTAAACCAGCGAGAGCAACTAATAAAGAGGACTTAGTACATCATGTGAGTTTTCTCACTATGCAAATTGCTGACAATCAACAGACTGTTTGCTATCTCCTGTATACATATAGTTTTAATTTCTGTGAAAGGACAATTAATGGAGGATTATTATTGTTATTAAGACTTATTATGTTTGCACATTCCAAAAGGAATCCTCATGCTGTTGCATTTACACTCATTGTCCAAAGAAATAAATAAATAGATCACCTTTACAGGACAAACCAATCTGCCTGAAATAATGGGTTCTTAAATCAATTTTGGATCATATCAAAAATATATTTAAAAAGGGGGAGGCAAGTCTTTCCAAACAATTATTTATTAAAAATATTTCTTATTAAATATTTACACATACACTAAATAATAGTAATTCCCTCATATGTTACTTCATATGTTGTTATGAGTAGATCTTCTACATCTACTCATAACAACAAATTCAAAACCATCTGTTTCATGGTGCAAAGCTCTTGTCATTCATGTCATATGCTGTACTTGTGGAAAACAATGAAAACTAATGGTTTTCAAGGGTTTCCCATGATGTTGTACCTAGTCAAGTAATGAAAAGGCTGCAACCAAATAACCTATTTCAGAGAGCACCAAGGACCCAATATTCAAAACTAAATTGCTTCTTCATTTCTGACTTTCTCCATTTCTACTACTGGTATTAAAGGAAAAATTACTGGCATGAACCTGTATTTCCATTTATCCCATAATTCTATCAGTTTTTTAAAAAAGGGGTTTTGAATTCTTTTAACAATTTTTAATATCTATTTTAAAACCAACATGTTTCTATAGGATCGCCTATTTCCCTTACTTCCTTCAATTCTGTATCGCTCCATAATAAATCTCTATCTACTATAATATCTGGGACCACCTTTATTTAATTAGCTACCCAATAATTTCTAACATTTGGAAGACCAAGCCCACCCTTTTTTAATGGTTCATACCATAAAGCTTTACTTATTCTTGCTTTCTTGCCTTCATTAGAATACACCTCCAGCGATCTCTGTATTTCCTTTAATTCTTAATCTGAAAACTTAATTGGGATTATCTAAAATAAACAGTTAATTTTTGGTAAAACATTCATTTTTATTGCTGCAATTCTTCCAAACCATGATTGTTGTGTTCTGAGCCTACAAAGGCAGGCTCGGGACATTGCAATGGTCCTGGGCAGTTGCAAACTGCCTGGGACCAGACTGGCTGGCCCCGGCTTTGCGCGCATGTGCGAGGCACGGAGCACACCTAATTGTTGCCATTCTGCCCGGGGAACATTGTTAAAAGAGACAGAGAGGCCTTTGAGCCTCAGAGCCGTAACTGAGTAGAAGAGACTGCAATAAAAGACTTGTTGGAACCACGAGATGTTCTGTGCTGATTCGCCATTAAGCCGAGGACATAACACTGGCGACGAAGGTGGGATGCCTTACAATTGATTAAGAAGAATTGTAAGCTTACCCAGGAGTCCTGAGAGCAGCTAGGAAGACGGCGTTAAATTCAGCACCTGCCTGCCAGTACAGCATCGCTGGAGGTAAGCTGGCTGATAGACCCCTCCCTTACAAAGGAGACAATGGCAAAGATAGGGAGACTGTCTGAATTCGATGTCACGCACCCAGAAAGATGGGAGTCTTATGTGGCCAGAGTAGAAAATTAATTTAGAGTAAATCAAGTAAGAGAAGATGGCTTAAAGGCCGCTACTTTGGTGTGTGTTTGTGGTCAAGATGCATTTGAAATTGCTGAAAATTTAGTAGCCCCTGCACCTCTTGAATCTGTCACTTACACAGATTTAAAAAAATTACTAAAGGAACATTTTCATCCCAAGTTGTCTGTTATTGCATGGAGACATACTTTTGAACAGAGGGATCAACAAGCTGGTGAATCAGCTAAAGAATACATTGCAGCTTTAAGAAGAGCAGCTAAGCCTTGTGAGTTTAAAGACTTAGAAGAAAGGTTGAGAGACCGATTTGTATGTGGGCTTAGGAACAGAGACTTGCAGCAGAGACTTTTTGCAAAGGAAAACATATCGTTCCAAGATGCCTTGAGAGAGGTTACTGCAGAAGAGGCAGCAGGTGGGGCAATCAAGAACATGAGGCCTATCAGGAACACTACAGAAGCTGTTTCCATGCACCATGAGGGAGTCCAGGAGAGCTCAGAAGAGGATCCTGAAGAGGAGGTGGATCATCTCTACCCAGCCAAAGAAAGAAAACAGAAGGAAGGCAAATAAAAGTCTTCAGCTGTACCCAAGTGCTTCGGGTATGGAGGTCGCCACAAGAGGACCGACTGCAGGTTCCGTTCTGCAATCTGTAGAGCATGTGGAAAGCAAGGCCACATAGCAGCTGTGTGTCTGAGCTGTCAGAAGGTACAACCCTGAGAAGAATTGCGCCTGAAAGGTACCAGGGTCCTCAGCCAAAACATGGTGGGTTTCTGTGCATCACGAAGAAGCATTTATAGGACAGGCACACACAAGCCACTTAAAAAGAAACTGTCACTTAAGGTGAAGTTGCAAGGAGTTCCATTGGTTATGGAACTAGACATTGGGTCTGCACTTTCAATTATTTCCATTCACACATTCAGAAAGATTTGCTCTAGCAGTGGGTTCCAGGCCAAGCTTAGGCCATCCAATGTAGTTCTAACAGACTTTCAAAATTCCAAGGTGTGTGTTAAGGGGGAGGCCGCCCTTAATGTACAATACAAGGATTTTGAAGGTCCATTAGATGTATTGGTAGTTGGGGGTGAGCGCACGAGTCTCATAGGACTCGATTGGTTTGAGGCTTTAGGAAAACAGGTTACAGGGCTTCACAGTTTGCAAACATTAGGTCTACAGGAAGTCTGCAAAGAATTTGCAGATATTTTCAGCCCTCAGCTGGGTACATACAAAGGCCCCCCAGTTTCCTTAAAGCTGGACCCCACTGTCACTCCTTCCTTTGCTTTAAAAGGAAAAATTGATGCTGAATTGGACAAATTGATTCAGCAAGGTGTCTTAGATCCTGTTGACTCAAGTCCTTGGGAAACTCCCATAGTCATGCCTCTTAAGGCTAATGGGGACATTCGCATCTGTGCAGATTACAAATGCACTCTAAACAAAACATTGCAACAGCATGCATATCCTGTACCTGTAGTCAGTCATATTCTGGCCTCCCTCAAGGGGGGGCGTGTTTTTGCAAAACTGGATTTAGCACAAGCTTATCAACAGTTACCTGTTGATGAAGCTGCTGCTGTAGCACAAACTGTTGTAACACACAGGGGGGCATTCAAAGTCAAAAGACTATAATTTGGAGTAAATGTGGCTCCTGGAATTTTCCAAAGCGTAATGGAAAATACCTTGAGGGGTATACCAGGGGTTGCCCCTATTTTGATGATGTCTTAATAGCTGGAGACTCCACTCAAAATTTAGCTGAGAGGTTGAGAGCTGTCCTGCTGCGGTTCAGGAAAACAGGCCTCAAGCTTAAAAAAGACAAATGTAAAATTGGGGTGTCTTCTACAGATTTCCTGGGATTCAAAATAGATGCCAATGGCATTCATCCTGCTGAGTCTAAATTAAAGGCTATTATGCAAGCTCCTAGGCCTAAGTCTAAAGCTGAACTACAAGCTTTTCTGGGCCTCTTGAACTTCTACAATGCATTCATCCCTAACAAAGCTAATATAGCTGAGCCACTGCATAGGCTTTTGGACAAACAGGCAGTGTGGCAGTGGTCGCAAGCACATGAAGCAAGTTTCAATGAGGTTAAGGCCTTACTTACATCCAATACTGTGCTTGCACATTTTAATGAAACTCTTCCTGTGTGCATCGCTTGTGATGCTTCCCTTTATGGGGTGGGAGCAGTTCTTAGCCATCTTAGACCTGGTGGAACTCAGGTTCCTGTTGCATATTACTCCAGAACCTTGTCTTCTGCTGAGCGAAACTATACCCAGATAGACAGGGAAGCCTTAGCTGTTGTTGCTGGAATTAAAAAATTCCATGATTTTTTATATGGCAGACATTGCATGGTCTACACTGACCATAAGCCTTGTTGGGGTTGTTTACTACAAACAAATAAACTCCCCATATCATCTCTCCCAGAATGCTGAGATAGTCCACCTTTCTGTCAGCCTATGATTTTTCTTTAGTTCACAAAGCTGGCAAAGAAATGGGCCATGCTGATGGCCTCGTAGATTACCCTTACAAGTGGTAGAGGCTGACTCTGTCCCTGCCATCAACATCCTTTCCATTCAGGTGCTGCCTGAGTCACCTTTAAATGCCAGGGATGTGGCTGCTGAATCAGCCACAGACCTCACACTCACTCGTGTATTATCCTGGGTTTTGTCTGGATGGCCAGAGAGTTGTCCAGGTACTGAGTTTCAGAGTTTCTGGCTTAAGAAACATGAGTTATCCACTTTTCAGGGTTGTGTGCTGTGGGGCAGCAGAGTTGTTATTCCTACCACAATGAGGTCTAGGGTCTTGGCTTCCCTTCAAGAGGGCCATCCTGGCATTGTAGGAATGAAGGTGCTTGCGCGCAGCCATTTGTGGTGGCCTGGGTTAGACAGGGAAATAGAGGCTAAGGTGCACGCATGCCACCTGTGTCAGCGCTCACGCCCAGAAATGCCCCAGGCTCCTGTAAATAGATGGGAGGAAACACAGTCACCTTGGTCTAGGGTGCACATTGATTACGCTGGGCCCTTTCAGGGTCAATTCTTCTTGGTCCTTGTTGACAGCTATTCAAAGTGGCTTGAGGTTGTACCTGTCTCTTCAACCACTGCTGCCAAGACCATTCAAGTACCGAGGGGGATTTTTGCTGCACATGGGCTTCCGGATGTTTTGGTGTCTGACAATGGCCCCCAATTCACTTCTTCTGAATTCCAAGCTTTCTTACAGGCCAACATGATTCATCATGCCACCTCTGCACCATTCCACCTTTCCACCAACCTATGGCTGAACAGATGATTCGCATCACCAAGGATGCTTTAAAGAAACTGACCTACAGGGACTGGCACCACAGGTTGGCAGACTTTCTTCTTGCGTACCGCACCACACCTTCAACTTCCACGGGGAAAAGCCCAGCTGAACTTCGCTGGGGGTGGAAACTGATCATCAAACTTGACAGGTTGCACTCGGACAGACTGCCTCCTAAGGCTACACAACCCAGGACACCGAGGTATCTGCAAGTGGGTGCCCTGGTATGGACCCGTAATTATGGGCCTGGTCACTTGTGGGTTCCTGCTGTAGTATGCAAGGTTACTGGCCCTTTGTCATACAAGGTCTCGTTGGATGATGGTCGTGTCCTTCGGCGGCATATCAACCAGCTGCGTACAAGACTGGACTTACCCTCGGAAACTCCTGGGCCTTTTCCAGGGGGGGAGGGGGACCACTATGGGCAAAGGGATGGATGTTGGCAGCAGGCGGGGCCCAACGGAGAGGCCACAGACGGCCTATTCCAAGGTTCCGCAAGTGTTCCAAACAGGAATCCATGGGAACAAGAAAGCACACAGGCACCAGTGACTACTCCAGGCAGGGAGTCACCCAGGGGGCATACTCATCATTCACCAATACCATTCAGCATTCCAGTCAGGGAGAATAACCGGGAGCATCCTAAGAACCCAAACATTGCTATAGAGCTGGCACAAACAGTCTACTTGGCCCAGTACTGCTACTGTTTCCAGAAGGAAGCATTCACACAGGGAGGTGGTCGGAGAGGCAAATCCCAATTCTGACACCTCCGGCACAGATGGGGGGGGCAACTGAGTTTTGGGGAAATACTGAAACCCCAGACAATCCCGTTACGGGGCTGGGGAGCGAAGGAATGCAGTCCATTGATAGGTCCAGTGTGGGCCTGGAAGGCTCCACAGAGTTACCTAACAGTGGCAGTTTATTAGAGGGGCCAGAGAGCCTACAACTAGGCAGGTCAACCATGTTATTGGGAGAACAAAGTCCTGGTCTGACGAGCCCAGTGGGCAAGCAAGCAGACCAGGCAATGGGGCATGGTTCACGGGGACCACCATGGTCTGAAAGGGGGGGCAACTTCATGTCATCCTCTGTGCAAAAAGAAATTGGGGATTCTAAGATTCTAAGGAGGTCACAGAGAGTCAAGAGAACTCCCAGGTATTTTGAGGATTTTGTAACTCTGCTGGCAAAGTAGAAACAGTGAGAGGGTGTCTGCTGTTGGGAAAATTGGAAATACGGGCATTGGTTATTAATCCTAGAACAATAGCCCGGTACCATTTGGAGCATGGATTGGCACACCATGCTTGTGTTGAGGTCGCGTGTAACTATCAATATAGTTTATTAGTCTTAGCCGGGGGAAAGTTGTGTTGTGTCCTGAGCCTGCAAAGGCAGGCTAGGGACGTTGCAATGGTCCCGGACAGTTGCATGTGCTAGGCATGGAGCGCACCTAATTGTTGCCATTCTGCCCGGGGAACATTGTTAAAAAAGGCAGAGAGTCCTGCGAGCCTCAGAGCTGTAACGGAGTAGAAGAGACTGCAATAAAAGACTTGTGGGAACCACGAGATGTTCTGTGCTCATTCGCCATTAAGCCGAGGACTCAACAATGATAATTTTACTTTTCCATATTTATCCATTTTATCTTTTATATCTTTCTTTAACTTTTAATAGTTTATCTTCTTTAATTCTTGAATATTTTTTGGAATGTCAATACCTAAATATTTGATACTATCTACTATTTTTAATTTATATTTTTCTTTCAATACATCCATTTCTTCTTTACTATAGTTATATAACATCATTTCTGATTTTTCCCAATGTATTTGCAATCCAATATATATCCCAAATTCATTTAAAGGTGAATATACCCTCTCTATAGCAGCTATGGGATTTTGAAACGTTAGTAATGTATGATCTGCAAATAAATGTATTTTCTTTTTCTTACATACGCCAATTCCTTCAATCAATTCTGCATTGTTTAAATGACAAATCAGTAGTCAAAATATATATCGTTTGAAACAAAAATATTATCCTAGGCAATAACTTCATTTTTTCTTGTACCAGATATTTTTTCCTACACTGACAAATGTAATTCATCTTAGCATGTTTTTCTTAATTTCATTCCATGTCTTAACTGTTCTGAAATAACATATCATTCATACGTAAATATTTTACTTTTTTCACAACATTAACATCAGAATTTTCTAAATAGTTTCATATGGTATTCTATTTTCATATTTTTGTTAACATTATTGTTGTATGGTTGTTAACTTTAAAACTGGCTAATGTGCCAAAAGCTTTCAGTCTTCCATTAATATTTCTGTTCCATATAAAAGATCTCAAAAGTAGAATCAAATCATCATAAAAGTCCCATAATCTACTATTTATCTTTTAACCCTCACTTCAGCAATTCTCTCATTTCAATATTTCCAAAGTTAACATAATTAATAGTGAGGAAAGGCAATATTATTGAATTTTTCCTTTCTTTATCTCACAATGTTTGTTAATCTTCCATTTCCAATTATCTTTGGCCTTTCTGTGCTATCAATTATCAATTTAATAAAATTCTCACCAAAGTCCATTTTCCCAAACATCTTCCCTGTATTTTCAAAACAGGTTAAACTTCAGTCACTTGTTAGGACACCCAAAAGAAAGATGTTAATCAGACATACAAAGAACAATTGCCAGGTTGCCAATATTCCAAAGGTAATTATGACACTTATGAATTACTGAAATCACTCTATTATTTTAGCAGGTGAAAATATCAAACGTTCTGTGCAGAAGGGAATAGGAATTGAGAAACAATTCATATAAATATTACTAGAGCCACGTGGAGGTAGCAAAGGGTAATGCTGACTTTCTGAGATTCATTTCCACAAGTTATTTCCCTCCTGTATTATCTGCCAGAACTTATCTTTGAACGATAGACCCAGACAACCAAACAATAGAATAAAGATGTTATTCCTTCTGATTTTCTTGGTACACAAAGTAGATACTCTGAGGTGCCCTGCAAGTGAAGCTTTCCCTGTTCCACATGAGTGGTTCCAGCCTGGGGATCTCGTCATTGGTGGGATGGTGTCTCAAATTTTTTACAACTTTTATGAAATTGAATTTAAGGACCATCCTTCTCTAAAATCTTATGACTTACCAGTGTAATGATATTTTTTTGCATATTTTTTCTATTCTTAGCCATATTGCCAGTAATTGTTTATATGAATAAAAATAGTTTGAGCATAAATGTCAGTTTTGCATGTCATCAAAGCCTGTTTTGTCTTTTGAACGTATCTGGTTGTTGGAGAAGAAATCACTTTCTTTTCATTAAGTTTTCTTTCTCATAAAATATACGATTCTCCTTTTTCCATTCATAAAAGATATGTTCTTCAAAAGAAGTAAGTCTTTTTTAAGTCAGGTTATTTATTACTCTGCATTTAGCTCTGTACAAAACTTACACACAAGAAATCAATGATATTTGCTTATTCTGTTTGCATTGTATTTTGTGCTACATTAATAGAATGTATCTTGAAAAGGCAACTATCTTTGTCACAATACCTATAAGTTGCAAATCATGGAAATACATGGAAACGTTCTGTAAAAATTATTCCAACATTTTAGTATTTCATAATTCTCATCTTCCTACTTCCATCAGTGACAGAAATGTTAATTATTCATTTAGAAATTATGCCAGATTATAAGAGCTTTAAAATTACTTCTTCAATTGTGAAATTTAATCTTTTGGCAGCGTAGTCACCAAATTCTACCAGCACGTCCTTGCCTTGGCCTTTGCTGTGAAGGACATCAATGAAGACTTCCAGATCTTACCTAATGCCACTCTTGGGTTCCACATCTATGACAGTTACTACAACCCAAGGATGACCTATCACACCACTCTGGACCTGCTTTTCAAATCTAAGGGATTTTTTCCTAACTACAAATGTGATAACCAGAAGAATCTCATGGGCATCATTGGAGGGTTAGATGCCTCTACTTCTTCCTATATGGCAGAAAGTATAAATCTCTTCAAGATTCCACAGGTAATTTGGGGGAGAGCAGCAAGAGAGAAACTTCTGTTCTTTTGTAATGAATAAGAAAATAAGAAAATAAGAGAATAAATGAATAACAGAGTTGGAAGGGTACATAGAAGGTATTGTAGTCCAATCCAGTACAAAAAACAAGAGACTTTTGGAATTAGCACCCATTAGAGTTCATTCAGTTTCCATATATTTTTCCTTCATTCTTATGAATAATGGCTCTCCTTTATTTCTTTTGTTGACCTACGGTTCCCTTGCTCAAGAAGAGTTCCAGGCTACTAAGTTATCTTCACTTTACTGCATGGTCCCCAAAGAGGAACATCAGTATAGGGGTGTTATACACCTTCTGCTCCATTTTGGATGGAGGTGGATTGGAGTCTTTACCTTTGATAAAAATAAGGGAGAAATTTTCTTGCAGAAACTTCATCCATTGCTTTCTCAAAATGGGATCTGTTTGTCTTTCACACAAAGAGTTCCACAACGAGCCCAGTTAGAAGAAATTTCAGAATTTTTTGATGTGATCTTAACTATTTCTAATCAACTGATAGATCAGAAGGCCAATGTTCTTCTTGTCTATGGTGAATCATTCACAATTCTGTGGCTCAGAACTGTTGTATTTCTATATGATTATGAAAATAAAGAGAGTGCATCATTTAGAAAGGTTTGGATCCTGATGTATCCAATTGATTTCATACTTATAGGACTTCAAAGGGCTTGGGATGTCCAGTTGTTCCATGGGTCTCTTTCCTTTACAGTTCATTCAAGAGAAATTCAAGGCTTCAAAGAATTTATTCAAGTCATCAAACCTTCAACCCACAAAGATGGATTTCTTCAAGAAGTTTGGGAGCAATTGTTCGACTGTTCACTTTCAAATGAAGAATTACCCTCAGTGTCCAATGAGACTTGCAGTGGAGAAGAGAATTTGGAGACTCTGCCTGCTCCTCTGTTTGAGTTGCAGATGACTGCCCAAAGCTACAGTATCTACAATGCTTTTTATGCAGTGGCACATTCATTGCAGGAGGCAGTGAGATCAAAATCCCAACACAGAAGAATTAAAAACTTTGAATTTTCAAATCTGCGACCTTGGCAGGTAATGTCTGCTTGCCAAACCAAATCTTTTCTTTCATTGAATAGTTCTTCTTCTCCATACTCTAATATGGATTTTCCTCCACAGATCAATGCAGTTATTGAAAACGAAAGTTATTAATGTAACAGCTGATTATAAGATATAGAACAAAGGAGGATAAAAAAACCCATGTCTTTGCAAATTTAAATCTATTCAATAGGACTTTTGTGTTATTTTTGATTCCATAAATAACCATTCTATTTCTATCTATATTTGTCCTGTCTTATAGATTTATTTATCGTGGTTCTAAAAAGTATTAAGTCACAATGCATTGAAGCTTGCAGGATGTTCTAAAACAGTGGTTCTCAACCTTTGGGTCGGGACCCCATTTGGGGTCGAACGACCATTACACGGGGGTCGCCAAACAACGCAGTCTGCCATTTTTTTCCCCTTTTCCTTAGCTGTGCTACTCCCTTTTATTCTATTGGCTTTTGAAAGCCAATAGAATAGACTCTCTTGAATAGAGTCTAATTCTATTGGCTTTCAAAAGCCAATAGGAATTGTCCAGGCTGTCTCTGCCCTGCTGAGCCCGCCAAAAGTCCCATTCTGCAAATGGTGATGCACCAGTTGAGTAGTCCTTGACTTACGACTGGTTTAGTAGTCCTCGACTTACGACCAGTTGGGGGTCACGGCATTAAAAACGTTGAGAACCACTGTTCTAAAACATAAACATTTCACTTCACTAGATTTTTGTAATTTAGTAAAGACTTGGCTGTTAGACAGGGGAATTAGTTTTATGATAGTCGTTCTTTGCTGATATAGCCAAATTATTTTTGTGAAGATATGTTGATTTTGAGACTTATGGTAAACCACCAAGAGAGTTGCAGGGTTTGGTGCTTTAAAGTTTGTATCATTGTTAATTAATAAAATAAATATGCTCTGCATATTTCAATTATTGATTTTTTTTCTAAGTTGACATTTTCTTCTTCTTGGAATAAAGAGCAACAAAGAAAAACAAAAAAACCAAACGCACAGGTTCAATATATGTGCTACCTTGCACAATAGTAGTAAGTGTGAGAAGGATCTTGAAGTCCTATTGCACAATCAGGTAACTATGAGTCAGCAGGTGCTGCAGCCAAAAAAAGTGGATCCAAGTGGATCTTATCAGAGAGTTAAAGTTGGAAAATTACACTCTAGCATTCCAAAAGGAAAAGAACTGACCACTGAGGAGAACACAATCCTTTGGCACACTGGTTTTAATGGAGTATGAAGTCATCCAGTTGTACAAAGGATCAAATTTCCCCTCTCAAATTACCTCATGAAGTTGTACTACTCTCAGAAACAAAATTAGCTCTGCTATTATCTTGTTGAAATGTAGTTCAATAATGAATTTCTGTTAGAATCTGCGGAATTTTCCCTTAAAAATCTTCCATAATTTTCATGTTCATACTTGTAAGAATTATTTGGAATTCTTGTCTGTGTGATTTCAGATCTATGTACATATAATCTATTCTCCAATATATGTCTACTTAGCTCATGGATATTTCAGGGTTGAGAACCTGAACATACTGTTTTCTCTTCTCTGTGTGTCTTTGTCTCTGTCTGTCTCTCTGTCTCTTTGTCTCTGTCTGTCTGTCTGTCTCTCTCTATCTCTTTCCTCCTCATGCTCCTGTTGTCCTCCTCTTCCTCCCGTAAATCTACCTAGCAAAGAATGCTTGAATCTCTAAAATCCGACTAAAGGAAATTTTTCAGGTCCTAGGCTCTCAAATGCTAACTATGAAGAGGAAAAATGGAGGATAACACAATATAGGGTGTCTAGGGTTGACCAACCTGAACAGTAAATAGAAATCATATTCAAAATATTCTGTTTTCATTTTTCTCTTATTGATTCCTATATTTCCTTAAAATAAGATCAAATTAATAATAGAATAGACCTATACATTTCCATGCAATATAGATTATCAATTTTCTCAATATTCTTATTTGAGCATTATTACAAGAATGGGAAAAATGAGTGAATAAATTTGAATAAGCTGGTCTCCTCTCTATTGTTATCCTTCCAATTCCCTCTCTCATTTTCTTTCAAGTAGCTCCATCCATTTCTTCAAGGCATTTCTTTTAACAATTTGGCTGGGGAGAGAGTGTTCCTGAATGAGAAAGGGGAGGCAATGGGTGGATTTGACATCATCAACCTGATCACATTCCCTAACAGATCTTTTCAGAAAGTTAGAGTTGGATACTTGGATCCCAGTGCTCCAAAAGGGAAAGAATTATTCATTGATGAAGATATGATTGTCTGGCACCCAGCTTTTAACCAGGTATATTTACATTTAATGGACTGTATTGTGATCCATGATGATAAACATGAAGATATTGTGATCCATTGTGATAACCATGCCTTTTGTCTGTAAAGGAATAATGAACATAGTCTCTTTCTGAATATAAGGGGGGGGGGTTTGAAAGAAAAATAAGAGATGTATTCAGTGTAAATGTTGACTGTGTTCAAGCATTTAGCAAATTGATAAAATGACATGACACTCTAAAAGCCAGGTTTTCATATTTGAGTGTCATTTCTATTTGAAATCATGGGAGTCACGTTGTTTCCATAAGATTGTCATCACACAAAAGCTTTTATTCACCCCGCCCTTCTGCAAGCAGGTCGTGTTACCCATCCTTGTAATTTCAACATCTTTATAAAAAAAATCCCATTTGATAAAATTGAGTAGAAATTTGAAAAGTCAATTTGAGGGGCTTCCACAAAGAAGGGGGGCATCAATCTATTTTCCAAAGCACCAGAAGGGAAGACAAGAAACAACAGATGGAACTAATCAAGAAGAGAAGCAACTTAGAACTAAGAAAAAATTCCCTAACATTGAGAACAAATAAGCAGAGCAACAGCTTGACTCAAGAAGTTGTGGGTGCTTCATTACTGGAGGCTTTAAGAAGACACTGGACGGTCACTTGTCTGGAATGGTATAGGGCAGGGGTGTCAAACTCACAACGTCAAGTGATGTATCACAATATATCATGACTATTTTTCCATTGCCAGCAATGGGGTGTGCACGATTTCGGTTTTATACATCTGGCCTGCGGGCCATCAGTTTGGCACCCTTGGTATGGGGTCTCCTGCTTACGCAATGGGTTGGGCTAGAAGACCTCCAAGGTCCCTTCAAACTCTTGTTATTCTGTTATTCTGTTTCCTGACATAAAGAAGCAAAATTAGAATTAGAAACTGTTTTAAAAATCTAACCTTACAAAACCTTTTATGTTTATGACCAGGTACTTCCAATTTCTCTGTGTAATCATCCTTGTTCCCCTGGATACTGGAAGAAAGGGGTTGAAGAAAAAGAATTCTGTTGCTACGACTGTGTTCCATGTCCAGAAGGGAAGATTTCAAATCAAAATGGTAGGTCAGAGGTTCCATAAAGTTTTCATGAGATAGATTTAAGCAAAATGTAATAAACTACTTTAGAATTAAAATAATTAGTAACTTTAAAGGTGAATGTTCATTTCTATACTGTTAAAGTTTGCCCCTAAGATTCTGGCAGGTAGCATTTCCTAATACAAGCCCCCAATTGGGATGTATTCAGTCATAGATCTTCTATCATCATATCATCTATTATCTATTTATTTATTTATTTATTAAATTTTCAACCACATTTGCCTTTGGTGGTGTTTTTTGCCCAATAAGAGTGTTCACTCTCTATTTTTCAAAGACAACCTTTAGTTCTGGCCCTTCTTTTCCACATGTAAGAGAAAGCAAAAAGGTTTCAGCAAACAAAGAAAGATTTGTCAATGAATTAGATATATTAACCTCAAGAGGGCATAGGGTGGGTGTTTGTAGAACCAATGTTTTCCATATAAATCAAAAAAGAACACTAAATGGCAGGACAGAGCATAGGGATCATGGATTTCTTTATCTTGAAAGTAAAATTAGATCATTCTTTTTGCTTGTTGGACGAAAAGTTTTGTATTTTTATTTTTGTTTTAATACAAAGATTAATCTTTCCTTAGCTTATTCACATTTTAACTGAATCAAATTGAAATTTAACTGATTATATTGATTTCCACTCAGAGTCAGTATTTCTGCTTCCCTTATATTCATCATCACAGTTTTGGGAGAAAAATGGAAAAAGTCCAAATGGACTATATTGATTTCAGAGAATAATTGTGCTTTCCATTGTTCTTTTTGCATGCAAACCCTAAAAGATACAAAAGAGAAAAAAACTGCAATTTCATAGAAAAATGATCCTACTAGTAAACATATTTAGCTGGCATCCATCAGATGAATATTTTAAAAAGTTTGGAATGGGTAGATGACAAATTCCTTGACTTTTCTTCCAGATATGGATGACTGTTTTGAATGTTCAGAAGATCATTATCCAAATAAAGAAAGGAACGGATGTATCCTAAAAATGATGGTCTTTCTAACTTTTGAAGAAATCTTAGGAAATTGTTTAGCCTTGACTGCTGTTTGTTGTTTCTTCTTGACATCTTGGGTACTTGGAATTTTTATTAAGCACCGGGATACTCCCATTGTCAAAGCCAACAACCGGTCCCTCACCTACATCCTCCTTATCTCACTTCAGTTCTGTTTTCTCTCCTCTTTGTTCTTCCTCAGCCAACCTAGCAAGGTGACTTGCCTTCTCCGACAACCAACTTTTGGCATCACCTTCTCAGTAGCCATTTCTAGTGTTCTGGCCAAAACCATCACTGTAGTTGTTGCTTTCATGGCCTCTAAGCCAGGATCTCAGATGAGGAAATGGGTGGGGAAAAGATTGCCTTTTTGTACTGTCCTTTCCTGTTCTCTTTTCCAAGTGTGTATTTGTATTCTGTGGTCGTCAATATATCCACCATTCTCTGAGTTGGACATGCATTCAGAGCTCCAAGAAATGATTTTACAGTGCAATGAGGGGTCAGCTTTCTTTTTCTATTGTGTCTTGGGCTACATGGGTGCCTTGGCCATCGCCAGCTTTGTTGTGGCCTTTCTTGCCCGCAAATTACCGGACAGCTTTAACGAAGCCAAGTTCATCACCTTCAGCATGTTGGCCTTTTGCAGTGTATGGATCTCCTTCTTTCCAGCCTATCTGAGCACAAAAGGCAAGGCCATGGTAGCTGTGGAGGTCTTCTCCATCTTGTCCTCCAGCACTGCATTACTGGGATGCATATTTTTGCCAAAATGCTACATCATTGTTTTTAGCCCTGAGTTAAACCAGAGAGAGCAACTCATAAAGAGGACTTAGTACATCATGTGAGTTTTCTCACTATGCAAATTGCTGACAATCAAGACACTGTTTGCTGTCTCCTGTATACATATAGTTTTAATTTATGTGAAAGGACAATTTATGGAGGATTGTTATTGTTATTAAAACTTATTATGTTTTCCCATTCCAAAAGGAATGCTCATGCTGTTGCATTTACACTCATTGTCCAAAGAAGTAAATAAATACATCACCTTTACAGGACAAACCAATCTGCCTGAAATAATGGGTTCTTAAATCAATTTTGGATCATATAAAAATATATTTAAAAAGAGGAGGCAAGTCTTTCCAAACAATTATTTATTAAAAATATTTCTTATTAAATATTTACACATATACTAAATGATAGTAATGCCCTCATGTGTTACTTCTCCATTCATGTTTAAAATACAATAATTATGTAACTTAATATTTGATAACCAAAGCCACCAGAACTAAAGCCGAAACATAAACAGGGAGATTTACTATCTCCAGAGATAACACAAGAATGCTATGCCTGCAGATGAACAATTGGCAATTTGACATAGCCATGTATTTCTGTAGAAGTCATTAAGCATAGGGAATGATAGCAAATACATTGAATTGTACTCAATGTGTTGCGAGTCAACTCATAGAAATACACTCAGATTAAAACTTTACTATAATCATTGTCCAGAAACATCAATTAAATAAATTTATAGGAAGAAGCAAACTTCCCCAATCTGGTACCCAATAAAAACACACATTTTTTATTGGAAGACTCAATAAATGACATTGCAGATCACAGACCACAAAACATATTAAAATAATAAGCAAATTATACTATAATAGTTAGAAAATAACCGTGCAGTCTGGTTGATAGCTTTCTTCCTGTTTGTCCCACATAAGTTTTTTTGACCCATAGTGCAGCAACTGTGAAAATAGGCCAAACAGGAAAAAAGCTATCAACCAGATTGCATGAACACTTCCTGGCCACCAAAAGACATGACCCACTTTCCCTCATGTCTGTCCACAAAGACTCAGAAGTACACAAATTTGATCTAATTGGGCCCACAGTTGTAATCAATTCAAAATCAAGGAGAGAAAGAGAATTTCTCAAAGCCTGGATTTCCACTAATTAGTTAATAAACAGATACATTGACATCGACCCAGACCATATTACTCAGAAGAAACTGAACAAACAACACCATTTGCATCACACAGACGATCCTTTACACCAAAGACTATGGCCCAGCAACACAACCAGCCAGTCAAACTGCCAGAAACCAGACCATGACTCAGCAACACCTGGATAAAAAACATCCACACCAATTTGTCTCACACAAAAAGGTATTTAAAGGCCAGTGCTCTGACAGATGAGCACAATTCAAAGTGCACTGAAGAATGGAGATGAAATGTTTTCAGCCAAATTGCCAAGCTCAGAGATCAAACCAATAGCCTAGTCACTGAAATGTTACACCATAAAAGCAGTAATAGATACATAATTATAGATTGTCCTTGGCTTACAACCACAACTGAAACCAGAATACTCCTTCTAAACAAGGCAATTATTAAGTGAGTCGATCTTACAACCATTTTTGCCAATGTGGTAGAGCAACTCACTACACTTAAGTGAATCACTCAGTCATTAAGCTAAGGTCACAAATGGTGAACTGGGATGCTCTTGGATGCTACAACAATTATACACACATGTCAGTGACCAAGTACCTAAAATTTGATCACACGACTATGGAGATTTACATCCACTGATATGGAATATGCAAATGTTCCTCTTTAAAATAAACATATCTTCTACATCTACTCATAACAACAAATTCAAAACCATCTGTTTCATGGTGCAAAGCTCTTGTCTTTCATTTCATATGTTGTGCCTGTGAAAAACATTGAAAACTAATAGTTTTCAAGGGTTTCCCATGATGTTATACCTAGTCAAGTAATGAAAAGGCTGCAACCAAATAACCTATTTCAGAGAGCACCAAGGACTCAATATTCAAAACTAAATTGCTCTTCAGTCAGTTGTCCCAAAGGTGCTTTTTCAAAAGAGAACTGGACTTTGTTTTTTTCCTTGAAGTTGTTTCACTTCTCATCCAAGAAGTTTCTTTAGTTCTAACTGTCAGAACTGAAGAAGCTTCTTGGATGAGAAGCAACATGTCTTTAAGGAAAAAACAAAGTCCAATTGTCTTTTGAAAAAACACCTTTGGACCTATCGTGACCTGTAGACATTCTTCAGTCAGTTGTTCTATTAATTTCAATTTAACAGACATGATGGTACAGTGGTTAGAATGCAGTATTGCAGGCTGATTCTGCCCATTGCCAGGAGTTTGATCCTAACTTGCTTAAACTAGTTTCAGCCTTCTGTCATTTGACAGCCAGTAAAATGGGGATCCAGATTGTTGGGCGCAATATGTTGATTTTGTAAAATGCTTAGACAGGGCTGTAAAGCACTATGAAGTGATCTATAAAACTAAGTACTATTGCTAATGCTATTGCTATATTCTTCATGTTCTTGTTCTACCAACTCTTTATAGGTTAACCATTTTTCTTTATCTGCTATTTCTTCTGCTATAAAATGGTTGTTGGGCTGTGACCCATAAGAGCATTTTCAGTAGCACAAAATAAATTTTAAATGAGGCAAACCTGATCCTCTTCATTTATTTGCATGTTGGAGGACTCTATATTTTACCAATTTGCATTATGAGTCTCAAATATATATCTTTCTGCATTACTTAAATGGCATGTGGGTAGACAAAACATATATCATTTGAAACAAAAAGATTCTTTTAGACCAGTGGTGGCGAACCTATGGCAATCTGCAGGGGGGGGCCTGGAGGTGGTGAGTGGTCCTGTGGGCAGAGGGGTGGGGGATGGGGGACAGAGTGAGGTTGGGGCAGAGGGGTGGAGTGGGGGTGGGGCATGTTTTTGGGCACTTGGTCTCTAAAAGGTTTGTCATCACTGTTCTAGACTTAAACTAAATGCCAAATGTAATTTTAAAACAAATGCACAGAAAAAGATATGGTTCTTGAGTTCCCACTCTGAAAGAAGTATGAAAGAAGCCCAACTTCACAGAAAGATATTTCTTAAGGTGTGAAAAAAGCAGAAAGCAGCTCTCTCCTGTTTGAAGGATAAATAGAAAGACTTAAACTTCAATTTTATATATTCAGAGTAATTCCAGTAAACAGTCTCTGAGCCATTTGGAAACAGTGGGTTATAAATTATTTTATTATTTTCTTTCAGACACATAATGCATGATGACCACTATTTGTCTTAGACTAAGATCCAAAGTCAACAAATCAGTTTGTATGTCTAAAGATGGACATAAATGTGGCTCTAAATAGCTTTTTAAAATATGATATGTATGATTTATTTGGGGAAAGAAGAATGACATATCTGAATATATTAAATATTATTTTAGCTTGAAAAATAATCAGGTAAAGGATATCATTAAAGCACTGGACTTATGGACTTCTGGTGGTTCCAGCGACGACGATGGTGGCGTTTTACAAAGCCGCCCGTTCCTGGTCCGTGTAAAAGCCGTGGGACTTTGACAATCAGCTGTCCCGTGGCTTGAATCTCCTCCCTGGGAAAAAGGGAGGAGGAGAGCTCTCAGGTAGAGGTAAGAGCTCCCCTGGATCCCTGTTATTTTGGGGATTGGAGGGTAGAGCTCCCTCGGAGCCTGAGTAATCTCCGCATTCCAGGGAGCCTTCATCCCAAAGCTTTGGGATGAAGCAAGCTGCCGCTTCCACATCTGCTTTTTTCAGCTGCTTGTGAGTATTTGAAAGCAGACGGAGCAGACCAGGAGAGACTGTGCTCAAGTTTGATGGTGCCTTTAACTTCAGCAAGTTTCCTCTTCTTCTTCTTTTGCTCACTTTCTCTTTAGAAGAAAGGGAAAGTGAAAAGTAAAATGGCGATCGTCTTTCTTGCCTGATTTGCATTACAAAGTAAAACTTGGATATAGACTAACTCTTTAAATACAGAAGTAAGAATTTGGCTTTTATTCTTTCTTCTTTTTTCTTCTTTGTTTTTTTTAAAGAATATTTAAAAGAACTGTGATTTCTTTTTCCTTTTTTCTTTTTTTTTCAATAAGAATCTTTCTTTTTGGAACTTAAGAAAATGGCTTCAAAACGCCTGCCTTCCACCACTAAAGTTCCTATTTCTTCTCCAATGCCTCAGCCTGCTTCTCAGAAACAAAAATCACCTCCACCTTCTCCTCCTCCTCCTCCTCCTCCTGCAATTTCTCTTAATGATTTACAAGAAGCTTTAAAACACCATGCCCTGGATATTAAGGAGGAAGTAAAAGATCTTATAATTGCAGAGAGGGCTAATACAGAAGAATTATTGGAGAAAAAGAACAAGCAAGTAAGAGACCATATACTTTTTGCTTTTCAGGGCCTTGCCCTGCATATAGAGAGGATTGATGACAAGATGGAAGAGATTACTGAAAATGCAGCAAGAATGGAATCTAGGATGCAGGAGGTATAGAACAAGATAGAAATTACACAGGATGAACAAATCATTTCACAATATAGAGAGATGGAATATGCATTGCGTATCAGAGGCCTGAGAGAGAACTCTCAGGAGGACTTAAAGATGCTTATTGTGAAAGATATTGCTCTTAATATTGGCTGGAGGCCTGAAATAATTGAGAATGAGATAGAAAAAATTTTTAGAGTTAACTCACGGGTTGCCAGACAGAGAAATTTACCAAGAGATGTGGTTATTTATTTTTCCAGAAGATCTATTCGTAATGAAATTATACAGGCTTTTTACAAACAAAAGTTTCAAATTGCTGATCAAGATGTGATAATTTTAAAAGAAATACCTCCAAAAATTTTAAGAGCCAGAAAAGATTTTACTTTTTTGTCTGATGAGCTAAAACATCGTCAAATTCAGTTCAGATGGGAGATTCCAAGAGGAATAATAGTAAATTATGAGGGGACACATCACAGATTAACTACTGTCTCTAAAGCAAGAGATTTTTATCAGTCTATTTTAAAAGCAAGATC